CCTGCCCCAGTGGCGTAGGACCTCGTTCGGTCACGACTCGCCGCGGGGCGGGACTTGTGCTGTCCAAAGGGCGCTGGCTGCCAGAGTGGACATGGCGGCCGGCCCTACCAGGGCCGTGCTGGCCGCCCTGGGGGTGCTCAGTGTCTGTGCTGCCAGCAATTCTGGGCCCGTGGCGGAGCGGGAGGCCGACGGGGAGGCGGAGTGGGCGGAACCGTGGGACGGCGCGGTTTTCCGGCCGCCCTCGGCGTTGGGCGCGGTGGGGGTAGTGCGCAATCTCGGGACCCCGGGGAGGGAGGAGACAGGGGACTTGCCGGTACTGCTGTGGTGGAGCCCGGGGCTGTTTCCCCACTTCCCCGGAGACTCGGAGCGCATCGAGTGTGCGCGCGGCGCGTGCGTGGCGTCCCGGGACCGACGGCTGCGGAGAGACTCGCGGACGCGCGCACTGCTCTTCTACGGCACCGACTTCCGAGCGTCTGACGCACCTCTGCCGCGCCTGGCACACCAGAGCTGGGCGCTTCTGCACGAGGAGTCGCCCCTCAACAACTTCTTGCTGAGCCATGGCACGGGCATCCGCCTCTTCAATCTTACTTCCACCTTCAGCCGGCACTCGGACTACCCCCTGCCGCTGCAGTGGTTGCCAGGGGCCGGCTATCTGCGCAGCTCTGCGCCTCCGCTCCAGGAGCGCGCAGAGTGGCGCCGCCGGGGCTACGCGCCGCTACTATATCTGCAGTCCCACTGCGACGTGCCTGCGGACCGGGACCGCTATGTGCGGGAGCTCATGCGCTACATCCCGGTGAGTGAGGGCGGGGCGTGGAGCGGGCTGGGCGGGCCAGGCCAGGACCCGGGGGTTCGGGTCTCCAGGCCGTGTCTCTTGACCGCCATACTCTACCCGGCTCAGGTGGACTCATACGGGAAATGTCTGCAGAATCGGGAGCTGCCCTCTGCGCGCTTACAGGACACGGCCACGGCCACCACCGAGGATCCAGAGCTCTTGGCCTTCTTGTCCCGCTATAAATTCCATTTGGCCCTTGAAAATGCCATCTGTAACGACTACATGACGGAAAAACTGTGGCGCCCCATGCATCTGGGTGCTGTGCCTGTGTACCGGGGCTCTCCCAGTGTGAGGGACTGGATGCCCAACAATCAGTCTATCATACTTATTGATGACTTTGAGTCTCCTCAGAAGCTGGCAGAATTTATTGACTTTCTGGATAAGAACGATGAGGAATATATGAAATACCTGGTGTACAAACAACCTGGGGGTATCACCAACCAGTTCCTTCTGGATAGCCTGAAGCACCGAGAGTGGGGAGTGAATGATCCTTTACTGCCTAACTACCTCAATGGCTTCGAGTGTTTTGTTTGTGACCACGAACTGGCTCGTCTGGATGCCGAGAAAGCACATGCAGCCTCTCCTGGGGACATCCCTTTGCCTGAGCCTCGCATTGCCCAGCCCTCACACATGGACTGTCCAATGCCTATGCCTGGCTTTGGCAATATGGAAGAGATTCCTGAGAATGACAGGTAGGGGGGTCTGGGTCCCTGCGGATGTTAAATCATTTACTTGCCCATTGTGGGTAGTGAACTGGTACTAGGTGCTAAGAGGGTATAGGAGGAAATTATGACATAGACTTACTCTGCCTTTAAGGTGTCAAGAATCTATGGGGTCAGGCTGGGCTCAGTGACTTAATGCCTGTAATCCTAGCACTTGGGAGGCGTAGGCGGGTGGATTGCCTGAGCTAACGGTTGGAGACTAGCCTGAGCCAGAATGAGACCTCCTTTCTAAAAATAGCTCGGAGTTGTGGTCGGCCCCTGTAGTCCCAGCTACTTGGGAGGCTGAGGCAAGAGAATAGCTTAAGCTCAAGAGTTGGAGGTTGCTGTCAGCTGTGACGCTACAGCTCTCTACACAGGGTGACAAAAGCGAGACTCTGTCTCAAAAAAACAAAAAAAGGCTGGGCATTGTGGCAGGTGCCTGTAGTCCCAGCTACTTGGGAGGCTGAGGCAAAAGAATCGCTTAAGCCCAGAAGTTTGAGGTTGCTTTAAGTTATGACCCCACAACATTCTACCGAGGATGACAAAAGTGAAATTCTATCTCAAAAAAAAAAAAAAAAAAAAAGGAGGTTGGTGCCTGTGGCTCTGTGAGTAGGGTGCCAGACCCATATACCAAGGGTGGTGGGTTCGAACCTGGCCGCAGCCAAACTGCAACAAAAAATAGCCAGACGTTGTGGTGGGCAGCTGTAGTTCCAGCTACTCAGAAGTCTGAGGCAAGAGACTCGCCTAAGCCCAAGAGCTGGAGGTTGCTGTGAGCTGTAATGCTATGGCACTCTACTGAGGGTGACAAACTGAGACTCTGTCTCTTAAAAAAAAAAAAAAAAAAGAATACAGGTCACCTAAGAAGGGACGGGGGATGAGTCTATGGCTAAGATGTGGAATAGCTGGGTGTAGTGGCTTATGCCTGTAATTCCAGCACTTTGGGAGGCTGAGGCAGCAGCTCTAAGCCCTTGGCAGAGGTGAGGCAGAGTTGGTGGAACCATAGAACAGCAATTTGGCTGTTTTCTGGCTGCCCTCATTGGTCACAGTGGGGCACTGCTTGAGGCCAAGAGTTTGGGACCAACTAGGCGACATAGCAAGACCCTGTCTCTACAAAAATTAAAATTAGCCAGGCATGGTGGCACCGGCTTGTTGTCTCAGCTACTAGGAAACCTGAGGCAGAAGGATCCCTTGAGCACAGGAGTTCAGGCTGCCCTGAGCTATGATCTTGCACTGCCCTTCAGCCTGGGCAATAGAGCAAAACTTCACCTAAAAAAAAAGTAAAATATAATTCAAGGCAATAACATGTGAAGATCAGATTATGTGGACATTTGCAATAGTGGTTCAAAATAGGCTTGAACTGCAACATAAGGCCTATGTGTGGAGGTAATGAGGAAGACAAAAAGTTAGCAACTAAACTGGCCAGAATGAATTTCCTGAATACCTGACGTAGGAATTTGGACTGTCCTGAAAATCAACTCAGGTATTTGATAATGGTGGGAAATACAGGGATGAGCATTATAAGGGAGGCTTTTCTGTAATAGTTAGGGCTTACACGTGTTAACCAGGCTTTTTTTTTTTTTTAAGACGATGTGTCGCTCTGTTGCCCGGGGTGCTCTCAAATTCCTGGCGAATTAAATGATCAATCCTCCAGCTTCAGCCTCCCAGTTGCTGGAATTATGTGAGCTACCATGCTCCTTGGTTTTTCTTTCTTTTTTTTTTTTAATTATTCAACCTTTTTAAAGAAGCTCGTTGAGAATAAGCTCTTGTTCATTTTGTGTGGGGATAGACTGCCTGCTTAACTAGAAGAGCCAGACAGACATAATGGCGCCTCCTTTCACTCTTAAAAGTACCCTGATTAGAATGATAAATTATGTTCATCGTAACAGAATTGGAAGAATGCTTTCAAAAGATTAACAGTGAGCAGGGACATGGTGGCTCATGCCTGTAATCCTAGCATTCTGGCAAGGCAGGAGGAGGATCCTTTGAGCTCAGGAGTGCAAGACTAGCCTGAGCCAAAGCTCAAAGAGACCCCTGTCTCTACACAAGAAAAAATTAGATGGGTGTCGATGTAGGCACCTGTAGTCCCAGCTATTCAAGAGGCCAAGGCAGGAAGATTGCTTGAGCCCAGGAGTTTGACTTTGCTGTGCTACGTTGATGCCATAGATGTTTACCCCGTGTAATAGGGTGAGACTCTGTCTCAAAAAAAAAAAAAAATTAAAAAAAATTTAAGAATGGTGGGCAGTGTGGAGTAGAAAGGAAGTAAGTAGGCTGGTATAGTAGGTGGCAGGTGGTAGCACTGGAAAACAAGGTTGGCATGGGAGATAGGGTGGAAAATTGTTGAAGCCACTTGCAGCAAGCCACACCTATTGGGGGAGAAGATTATTAAACTGGGGCCTGTGCAGTGGGATTATTAAACTGGGAGGCCAACGCAGGTGGATTGCCTGAGCTCATGAGTTCGAGACCAGCCTGAGCCAGAGCAAGATCTCGCCTCAAAAAATAGTCAGGTGTTGTGGCAGGTGCCTGTAGTCCCAGCTACTTGGGAGGTGGAGGCAAGAGAATAAGTTGAGCCCAAGAGTTTGAGGTTGCTGTGAGCTGAGACGCCACAGCATTCTACTCAGGCTGACAATGTGAGACTTTGTCTCAAAAAAAAAAAAAATTATTAAACTGGAGTATTGGTCATAGTGGCGCACACCTGTAGTCTCTATAGTCTCAGCTACTGGGAGGGTGAGGATAGAGCATCACTTGAGCCCAGGGGTTTGAGTCAAGCCTGGGCAACACAGTGAGGTCCTTTCTCTAGAAAAGATATATATATTTGTTGCAGTTTGGCCGGGGCCGTGTTTGAACCTGCCACCCTCAGTATATGGGGCTGGTACCCTACTCACTGAGCCACAGGTGCCGCCCTAATCATTTATTCTTTTTTTTTTTTTTTTTGAGACAGAGCCTCAAGCTGTCCCCCTGGGTAGAGTGCTATGGTCACAGCTCACAGCAACCTCCAACTCCTGGGCTCAAGCAAGTCTCCTGCCTCAGCCTCCCAAGTAGCTGGGACCACAGGCGCCTGCCACAACGC